CTACTCTACAAAAACAAAGACAAACAAATACAGTAACTAAATGAGCTGAGGATAAAACTAGCAACAACTACAAACAAACCATCCTCGGAGCTTCCTCCAACCGAAGGCGCTTTTTATCAGCACTTTTTAAGGTAAAAATGGATTTATAGTTATTGATGGATCAAGGGAATTATGAGGGTGGTTCATACCCCAGGGCAAAGTTTGTTGGCCCGAAGGACAGCAATTGCCCGTGGATATTAACACCTGATAATTCCCATCTATGTACCCATAGATAATTTTATTTCCTACTAAATTTACTGTATTTTGTTTATTTTTATAAAGGAATAAACCCATAAACCAAAATTTCAATTTTTTCTCAAAGTTTCACCATCCAAGGTATGAAAGCGGGAGATATGAAATAATTAACCACCGCGCGAGAGTTAAGACCCTATTTATGATTATCGTAACCAAGATATATATGGTTACTAATAGTTCAGTAGGATATAAGACAATTCATTTCCTATAATTAGTAGCTATATTCTAAAATTTCCTGCAGGTGAATTTTCAACTTAAAACATGGTACAGTAGCAATAAGCCAACACCACTTATAAATGCAGAAGGTTCAGGATGGAATTTATCTGACGAGGTTTGAACTCCAATATTTTCCAATGACAAGTCAATTCCTGAATTGTTCGACAATCATTATACAGGGCTCTAGGGCTCTCATTTCAAAACTTGCCACCCACGTTATTTATGTAAAGAGGCATATTCGTGAAAATCGCCAAAACACCTCAACAAATTGATTGGGGGGGGGGGGGCTGTAATAAAAATGTAGGTAAAGCAGGTGTGTATAAAAATAAATAGGCATTTTTGAACAACACTGATCAAATTCAAAAAATGAAACGGCAAATGCTACAGATTAAACATCCCTTCAAAATGATCTATCACTCGACCCCCTGTCTCATTTAAAAATTTTGGGATGGTGTGGTAGCGTAGCCCTGGAGGTTAGGGGGTTGAAGGAAGGGATTCCATTTTCACGTGAAAAACCTTTCCCTCCCCCAATAAATTTGTTGATGTGTTTCGGCTTTTTTCGACGAATAAGCCTCTTTACGCAGATAACGTGGGTGGCAAGTTTTGAAATGAAAGCCCTGTATATTTATTCTTCAGATAAACATGGTGAAAATCGCAAATATGCTTGCCTGCAAGAAGGTCTAAAATGTTGTAACGAGTGTTGTTCTTGTAATAACACTATTAAAGATTTTGAAGAAGAGGAAAATGATGAACAGGAATGTTTTTAATGTCGAAAGTAAGGGCCACATTATAATAATAGGTATTATATCCATATTTCCGCTTCTATTTAATTCAATTAAAAATATATAATACCCTACCAAGTGGTCATAAGGTCTTATGAGTATTGTACTCTCCTATCTCTGAGTAAATGCGGTATAATACTGTCTCGCGATGGCTTTCGCTCGCGTTAGATTATTTTAGCGCACAAATAAAAAATCGCTGTGGCCAAAGGATATATATTGGGTAAAAACTAATGATTTCAAAAACTTTTGTCATGTTTTGGCATCATTTGCTTCGCTGTATGTATATAAAAAATTTCAAAAATAAAAAAGTTTGTCGATTGGTGAAAATTGTAAGACCTGAAATTGTAATTCCTGGATTTTCCGATTTTTAGAAAAATCAAGGGGAAAACTTCGTGAGGAACGAAGGAACTATTAAAAGCGCTCAAGTGTGTACTTTAATTTAAAAAAAAAATTACTTCGATAACTTTATTGGTTTTGGAGATATGACGGTGGCAACAAAAAAAAACACATTTTATTAAAAATATATTTTTTTTACTTTTTTTGTTATAAAAAAGTTCGAGACCACGGGAAAATGTCTGCTCTTCAGATTTCGTATGCCCAGTGACATGCTTAACAAAACCTACCACGTTTGATTTGGTTCTACGCCAAAAAAAAAAAACGACGAGATACGGCTTCCAGATCGCTCCTCTAATTGGTTCTTTCCTTTCTGACTCTATTTATGTCATGTCAGATGTTCCACAAGGAGGCCACTGTTCTCCCTTGCTTTTTTACTTTATTTGTTAATAGTATTTTTGAATGTTTTATTAACAGTGAGGGGCTGGCATTTGCAGACGATTTTAAAGTATTCAAGGTAATAAAGAGTTAAGATGATCAACAACGTCTGCAAGAGGATCTCGACAGACTATTAAACTGGTGCACTTAAAACAAGCTCAATCTGAATGTCAATTAATGCTGTCACATCAGCTTTCTCAAGGGTAAGAAAAAGTTTGACACATTTTATTCTTTAAATAATGTAACTCTATCTTATGTTTCTAAAGTCAATGATTTAGGTGTAATATTCGATGAAAATTTGAGCTTTGTTGAGCACATAAACAATGTTACAGTGAAATCCTCAAAAATGTTAGGGCTTATTTTGAGGCATTGCAAAGGTTTTTCAGTTGATACTACAAGAAGTATTTATTGTTCCTTAGTGCATCAGCGATCTGGGCACCGTTTCATGAAATTCATAAAGCAACAGTTAAACAAATTCAACACAAATTTTTGAGGCATGTTGCATTCAGATTGGGGCTTCAAATTATTGATCACAATTACAATGCTATCGAAAATCGAATAAAGTTAAATACCTTTTCAGTCAGAAGAAACTTTAATGGAATGACTTTTATATACAGTGTCATTACTTAAGTGTGCAACATAGTAATAGCGCAATCAAAATACAAACAAAGCCAAAAGTTGGTGCATGTCTGATAATCATATTAGGTGCACTTAGAATGGTTGCAAGTCAAACAACATACAGGGTAGCGGGCAGCTCAAAAAATATCAAAATTGTAGTAATATTTACTTAAATAAAATAAAACTTTTGCACTTTAAGGAGAGTTTTTTTAATATGGCTATTATAATTAGTAATGTTTTAACTTGTTAAAAAAAAAATTGCGACATTTTAAAGTTGTGTTGAATATCATTGCAACAAACCTGAATTTTGTGATTCCATAAAAAATTTAAAATCTAAGTTAATTTCACAAATATGCTTGAATTTGAACAAAGTTATGTAAAATTGATTTGATTTTAATTACTTTTTGAAAGTATTAAGGGCGGAAATAAAAAATAAAAAAAATATAGAAATTATGGATTTTTTTCGAAAGAAAATAAAAAAAATCGTAGGGGGCTATGTTTTGGTATTTAGGCATAACTTTTAATTCCAAACAACTTTTCTCTATAACATTTAGCTGAATTTTCTTAAATAAGGGTACTGTACAGTACAGCTTTGATATTGTTTGAGCTACCCTGTATGCTGTTTGACTTGCAACCATTCTAAGTGCACCTAATATGATTATCAGACATGCACCAACTTTTGGCCTTGTTTGTATTTTGATTGTGCTATTACTAAAAAAAAAATCCCCATATGTTGCACACTTAAAAAATTACACTGTATAAGCTTGTGAATGCAAAGGTTGATTGTGCTGATGTTGTTTAAACATTGACATACCCACTACCCACTAGAAATAGAAGAGGCGACTTCGTAACTTTTTTATTCCGTTCCACCGTACTAATTATGGTCAAAGCTCTCCAATTGATAAATATTGTAAACTGATTAATAAGTCACATAGAAATATTTGATGTAACTTTAGGTAACTTTAAATGTCAATTATATAGACTGAGATAATTAATTTTTAGTATTATATGCATTGAATCCAAAGTAAAACATATATTGTTAATATTATTGAGTCTAGATTAGGTTTATATTACAATCTTAGAGACAACATTTTTGTAAACTGTTAAACTATTAATGGGGATTTCCCGTAAAAAAATAAATAGGTAAATAAATAAAAAAATTAACTTTGTTCATATCGTCGTTAATTTCACAAAGTCACTTTGTGAAATTAACGACGATATGGTTATATCTATGCTTCAGTCAATACTATTCTATAATGTGTAGTAACAGAACTATGCCACTAAGATCATTGAGTTTGTTTCTTAAGCTCCTTGTATATTAATATACAATACATTCAGGTTTTATGTAGCAGCCATTTCAGTATTTCTTCGGTTTGTATTTCTAAAATTTTCACAAAAGTTCAGGATCTGTCTCACTTCTGATCCTCATTGGTATAACATTATCTCCCTTACCCTTTTTAAGGAATACTTTACCATTTTCTACAAATGCTGATTTGTAGACATTCATTCTCTTTGGGTACTTTTTAAAAAGCAACTGGTTGTGTCGGGTTAAATCCTCATTATGGCATACATGTTTATTTTTATCTCCTCAGCTAATCCACATTCACCTATCTGAATGCCTCTGACATGCCAGATTTTGCTCAATATTTCACTTCTTATTTCCTGATTTTTTAGCTTTACTAGTACTAGTATAGTATAGGTGCATCTTCCTTGTAATTGATTCTATAGGCCTCCTTTTCATCATAACCAGAGAGCTTCATTTGCATGGCATTAAACACTTTCCTTATCATCATCTTGTTTTGGTATTTCCATGACCAGTAGGTTATTCTCCATATCTTTTTGCTCTAGAAGGTTCAGTTTTTCTCCTATAGCTCCAATACTTTGCTTGAGCATTTGATTTTCTTCCTTAAGATGTTTTATTTCAAGCATCATGCTTTCGAGATTCACAATCGTCAGGCCAATTAACATAAGAATCAATTTTTTTTAGGTGGTTGTTCGCAAGTGTTATAGAGGGTCCTAAAAACGCATCATAGAGGTCCCTTGTTCTCTGACTGAGATGGTGATAAAAACCTGCTAGCCTCAAAGAAAAACTTGCTAACCCTATTTAAGAAATATATTGGTCACAATTTCCAAATGGGCTTTTATAAATAACATGTATCTATGATTAAGCCCTAGTTAGTTACTGCATAAAATTGAACAATTAAAATCAAATGAGCTGAGAAATAATAATAAGTGTGTCAAATATCCTAAAACAAAAGCTTTGCTGCCAACTCTTTTATGTGCATACAAATTCAAATTAGATTATGCAACACAACTTACCCGGTGGATGTGGTCCTTAAACGATGCTCTCGAACATCCATTATCCAACCCACATGTTGCTCCACTGGAGGATTACTAGAGTGCCTTGTTTTGCGCTTCCTTGGAGTAGTTGGATCAGGTCTTTCGTCTTTAACAACAGCATAGAATCTAGGAACATTTCGGTGATTGGGCGCTTTCGGACCTTTCCGGTTTTGATTTTGTTGACCATTACCTCCAGCAGCTGGTGGTGTAAACTAAAAAATTATGCCAATGTTCTTTAAAATGTTTTTATTATCATTTATTAATATACCAATCACTAATCATAACAGTTGATTAGCTAGAAAAGTGTTGCCAGTAAGTTTTTGAAAGTTTAATAGGCAGTAGAACCCCCTATGACAAATCCGGTTATGGACTAGTATGAAGTTTGTACAGGTATTTTTCTATTTTGGTGAAATTTGGGAAAATAGTTAATTTAACATGACTAACGAGCTTAACGTTTTTCCATAAAATCTAAAAGAAATAGACTCATTTGAAAAAAAACACTAGAAAAAACCTCTAGAGCTTCCGGAGGGCAAATGATACTTTTAGGACAAAATCGGAAAATATTGTAGGCTTCAATGCAGTTTTGAACCAAAAATGCGCAACAAAAGGATCTGTATGACCATTAGCTTCAATCTAGGTTGTTTTCCAGCCAAACGCGAATTTTAGGAGTACTTTCCATGTAATCTGATTGGCACAGTTATGCTTTTAATGGCACGCATTCCATGTCTACTTAGCATAGATTTTACATTCCTTTTCCTCATGATATTTTAAGACAAAAACCCATAAGAAAGTACTTTTAGGAGAAAATTAGTCCATTGATGCAGTTTTGAATCAAAAAGTCAGCATACAAAATATGTGACTATTAGCTTCAATTGAGGCTGGTTTTTAGTTGAATGCGCAAGTCAAGAGTACTTGGATTGGATTTTTATTTAAAACGACTGAAAGCACGTGGAAAATGCTGTTGAAATGCAATTTGACACTCATTTCGCTCATTTTCTCTTGATATTTCGATGGAAAAATCCAAAAGGAAGCACTTTTAGGACAAATTTAGTTCACTTTGTGGTTTTTAATGCAGTTTTTAAATAAAAAATGCATCTACGAAAGGATCTGTATGGCTAATAAAGCCAATTTGAGTTGTTTTTTAGTTAAACACGCACTCTTAGACTACTTTGGATGGAAAAGATGTGGAAAACGCAAAAAATGTAGTTCAAATTGTTGAAATGCTATTTTACATTCATATTGGATATTTCTCATTGATATTTCAAGTAACTTATACTTTGAATGAGATACATAATGTCTGTCGTTTTTAATCTGACACTTTCCGTATGAGGAGCGAGGCGGTGAAGCTTATGGCAAAAACAGGTGTGACGTCAGGTGACCATTGGCGTTCTAATGTAGGGAGCCGCCAGCTCACATTCCTTTGAAGTATCAGATTAAAATCGACAGAATTTACATTGTTTTCGAACGATTTATACCTTACTTTAGAAATGAATCAATTCGCGAAAATCAGTCACTGCTAGATAGCGCTGTATTTTGCCAAGATTGAGTCTATTGGGGTGAACAACAATGAAACGGCATAAGCTCTAGTTTGATGTGTTTCGTTAGTGTTTTTGAGTTTCTGGATTCTAGTGAGGAGTTGTGAGATATTTTCTGAATAGGAAACGCCTTCTTTGGTTTGTACCAGGAGTAAAATCGATATCTGTAAAATGCAGACTACAAACTCGCATATTGCAGTTTACAGATTTGTGCACAGACTGCACAGCATTCAATACAATCAGCAGACTAACTCGAGCTTTGTATCCTAAAATGGCGGCGTGCGCAGAAAAGATGCGCGTTAAATCTCAAGCCCCTGCCGTTTAATCCTGGGCTGTATTCTTGAATGGCGGCGTGCGCAGAAAATATGCACGTGAGAGTTAACCTGCTGATTGTTTTTGTATATGCTGTGCAAACTAATGTAACTAATATTTTAAATAATCACTTTATCCACTTTTCACAAACCCTTGAACAAAACAAAACAACTCAACTATTAAAAATTCGAACCTAAAAACACACATTAATTTACCATTTAGGCATTTAATTAAACTTTTCTATAGCGGTACATGCGCATATCGGCATTGATGTTCACCCCTATTTGAAATTCACAGATTTGTTAATAGATGTCGCCCACTTTAAAACTTTCGCCATTACTGCAGCTTAAAATCGTAATGATAATACATAATACCTATGCCTATGCTAAAAACCGTGGCAATGTAAATAACATTTAATTGCTAACGTAAAATATGACAACAGTGAGTTTATTTTCTTGTGACATCTTCTCTAAAGTAAACTGAGGTAGAATAAATGATATTATTAGCATTGAGTACTAAAAACTTACAAGTGGGGGAGGCGGGGGTGGTGTATCAGGATTTTGTTTTTTAGGTGCAGGCGGGGCCAATTTGCGGAAGTCTTCTTGGCTTATCACAGTAACGGTTTTGTAACTACCAACTGAACTACGATCCTATAAAACAAAAGCATTAGTTTTCTTAAATGTTATTGAAGACCTTTTACTATATCATGAAAAACTTACAAAATCGATATCATGCCACAAATCCTCTTCATAATAATAAAGTCCATCATTAATGGCTTGTTCCAAGTCCTGGGACATCTTAACTCGTGTAGTCCAGTCTCCAGTGCGATCGTATCCTTCATGTTTGGGCGCCCGGGTGGATGGCGCTTGATGCGCTTGAGGCGCTTGAGTAACAATTAAGAGTTTATTGACATCCTTGTCACTTAATTCATCTATATCATCATCGGTAGACCTTAAAAAATGGATTCATTTATTGAATTTATAACATCTTGAAGTGGAGTGTTTAATTTAGCACTGTATTGAACTCAACAGATCTAAAAAAAATGTGAATTTCTTGGAAAGACAAAACCTTCACCCACAGACATATACAAAATTATAATGATTCAAATTTTGTTAAAAACGGGTATATAAAAATATGTGTCTGTTACAGATTACTAAAGTCTCATGTAGGAAAGAGAACTTTTCCTCACTATTCTACTCAAATGAGCATAAATAGTTAAAATATATTAGTTATACAATTGTTTGTATAACAACCATGAATTCTTACCATTCAGTTGTAAAAGTATTTTGTCTTCCAATTGGCACATTCTCAAGCTCTTCATCGAAATGAAATTCGAGTTCCTCTCTTTCATATTCTTGTTTTGGTTTCGGTTCTTTTTTCACTTTGTTTTCTTTATTTTTTCTTCTCACTTCCAACCAAGCTTCATCTTCCTCTTTATTTTTTTCTTTGGTTGCCAAACTATTTTCACTGTTTGTTTGTGGATTTTTGTTTTCTTTATTGACGATGGGTCCAACGTTTTCTAGAAGTAGACTTTTAATTTCGATTCTGATTTGGTACCTACCTACCTACTAATCAAATTTTGAATCTGTGTATTATTTTAATTTAAAAAAAAAATCCATTATTTAAAATCAGATTTATACCACACTTAACAAATTATACTTCTCGAGGACAATAATTGTCGTAGAAACCATTTTTCTATCTATATAATCTACCCATTATTCAATCTATTTTTCTAGGAAAAAATTGAATTTCCCTTTCTAGGTGAATAATGATAACGAAAAAAACCTAGGTCAATAATGAAAATAACGTCATGACGCAAGGTCAGAGCCTATTTCTCGCGTTCACTTTTTTGACATTGGTTCAAAACCAGTTTGAAACAGTCAATGAAAACACCATTGCCGTTTCAAACCTGTTTTGAACCAATGTCAGAAAAGTGGACGCGAGAAAACGGCTCAGGTTTCTATTAATTTAATTTCAATTTCAACATGTCAATTGAAAAAAAAAAACAAGTTTCAGTATGTACATAGGAAGATACCAAGAATGATACCCACAACAGGATGGTCACCTCGGCGATTTTTTTCGCTAGTTAAGCGCGAGCACGCGCTGCTGTAGTGACGTCACCTGGCCCACGCGAAACTAGTTTCATGAGTTATTGGTATAGGAAGATAATATGGTTTAGCCATTTAATGACGCAGTTATAAACAAAAATATATGTTGACAACATGTCTGATTTTCCCTATCCTGACCAAACTCCCCCACTACTAAAATGCCATATTTAGTTGTAGGAATATTTATTTTCTTTTTCTAACGCGGGTATGAAGTCCTGCGAGTCCTGACTTTTAAGTACACTTGGCAACCCATTACTAGACTAAACTCCGCCTTCTGCTTGTCATAGAGTAATACGTTCCGTTCTTGCTCAGAGTATCTTGTTGTTTTTATCTTATGCGATGATGATTAGTATATGTTAAAAAAAGACCAAAACATAGGATATAATTGTCTTAGTATGGAATACATTTCGAAAATCATCCCTTTGATTCTGGAAGTTCAGTCAGTCAGTGGTGTGCTTGGCTAAATCATGTGCTCAGAGAGGCGGGACTTAGATCGGACGAAGCATCCCTACCAGGGACTGCCCGCGCCCCAAACCTCCCATGGCCTATAAACATGTTGTCAACACAACAAATAGTATTTTATGAATAGGATACTCTGTCTGTGGTTATAGGTCATTGAATTTTTTCCTGCATCCCTTTTTTCTGGTAGCCATAATAACATACGGGGGCTCCCTATATGGGAGGCAAAGCTCCGCGAGCGCTCCAATTTGGGGGGGGGGGCAAAGCCCCGCGGAAGCCCCCTATTTGGTGGGCAAAGCCCCGCGGAAGCCCTCTATTTGGGGGGCATATAGGTATAGTTGAAAGTTGTTGTTTTAGATACCAATAAAAATTAAAATTGAAAAAAAAAACAAAAATACTCAATTCACTCGAAGAATAATCATTGTTCCTAACACTCGCGCAAAGTAGTTTTCCCGCACTAAAAGCCTATCTGAACTCCGCTTGGCGTGGTTCGTCTTACTCCTTTCGCGTGCGGGAAAACATAAATTTGCGCACTGGTTAGGAAAACGTCTATATTATAGGAGCCTTCTTAATTTATGAACTTTTGTTATAGGTTGTTTTATTTTATTTCAGGATATCGAAGGCCTTATTCGTATTTTAAAAATCGTTAAATAGAAATAAGCACTTTTCCGTAATTTAGTTATCTGACTGTTTATAAAAAAAACAATACTTTGAAGGCGAATTTTCATTACTTAGCAATGTAACTAACTAATATCAAATCTTTGGATTGAGTGGGCCAGAGAGTTTTTGTAGTGTTGAGAAAGGATCTATGCTTTGACGTCAATAAAGTTTTAAGAAATCATGACAATCAATTTGGCAACGTTGCATTGTCTAATGTCTCCTGATAAATATTATAACCTCTAACTTCACAGTTTGTTTGGTTTGTTTTTAACATTTGGGTCACAGTCTTGTTTTGTTCTCGTCAGAGTGTGGTCGGTTGGTTTAAGGAGCTCCAAGAGCATCACCGGGTGGTGCACCAGAAGCGTGTAGAGACCAAATTTGTGCTCGCAAATTGCCTAGTAGCAGCGCCATTAACAGACAAGAAGAAGAATAATTTTGTGTTATAAGGTTATGTTGAGCAGCGTGTTAAACGAACAAGGTGCAAATAACAAATGAGGAATTCCATCTTCACTTTTCAGAGCTTGACAAGGAAAGCATCAAAGATGAGCGTCAGAGCCATTGTGAACGATTCTTATTGGTCGGGTTGTGTATATACGTCATAGTGGCGCTATTCCAATACGTTTGAGGTATGAGAACAGGATTTTTTTAAATTATTTATTAGGAAAATAGGACATTTGGAAGCCAACTGGAAGCTAGGGTATTTTTATTTTGGTTCATACAACTGATTAAAAATAATAAGACAATGAAATTCAAATATGGTGAAACGTGAAACTCCCCAAGAAGCGACCATCCTCTTGACGGGTTATCGTTCCATAAGCTGTTGATAGAGGGAAGCACTTTCAAGAAGGCATTCAAAAAAAAGAAAAAATGAGCACAGATTTCAAACCTATTTTTTATTCTCTATTCTCTAGTAGCAGCAGTAGTAAAAAAACACACAAACCGAGGATTATAAGCGCAAAGAGGATTGCCTATTAATGACAAGCGCCAATACCCTTGTGACGTCACTACAGATGCGCGTCTCCCTTTTGTTTTACTATTATCAATGTGTTTTGTGATTACTTTCGATATTTATATATTTGTGTGCTGTCATTTTTTTTTATTATATCCGTGAACCGGAAATTATTAAAATATTATCAAAAATGATATTAGAGACGGAGAAAAACATCCATTGATTGCCACAAATCAAGGATTATAGGCGCAAAGAGGATTGCCTATTATTGACAAGCGCCGATACCCTTCCCAATAAACATTTTTCGCAACTTATAGTAACGCCAAGTTATATAATGGGTATATAATAGTATCAAAGGTATATAAGAAGGTTTCCAAGTTTTATAATCTGCAACCTATGGTAACATAGTTTTATAAAGTATTTATAAATTTACTATAACTTACAGGTATATAATAAGGTAATGTAACTGTTTCCATCACCATTTTATAAAACTTTTAGTACCCGTTACTAAAGTATTTATAAGCACTTTTTATAAAGATTACCGTAACCTCATTTATATAAGGATGTCAGCAGAGGTGGAGGTGTCCTAGTGGCACTTAAAAATAAAATACGGGTAGAGTCCTTTGAATGTCGGTGTTCGTCCGAAATCGATTGTGTTCTATTAAAAATTAAATGTCATAACTTTCTTTTTTGTCGTGTGTCTATATTCCACCAAATACAAGCCGAGATGGTTACATGTCTCATTTTGACTTTTTGGAGTGATAATATCTGTGATAAGAGTACCTTGCTAGCTCATTTTCTAAGTCTGAATCATCTTAGTCAATTTAACAATAAAGAAAATTTTATGAATAGAAAGTTAGATTTAGTTATAAGCAACTTAGCAGCGATCTCAGAAATTAGATGTGATATGCCACTAGTGAGTGAAGATAGCTACCTCCCCTCACTGTGTTTGAATATAGAAGGTGAGTCAGATAGTCCAGAATTAATTAAACCTGTATTCAAATATGATTATGCCAATGGTGATTTCTACAAATTTTATAACCTACTTGAAAACTCTGAATGGAAAGATGTTGAGCTTGTATCAGATCCTAATGCCGCATTATCACTTTTTTATGCGCAAATGTATAAATGTTTGGATGAAAGTATCCCAAAAAAAAATCTATTTAAAGGGGTCTGGATTAAGATATCCACACTGGTTCTCCTTGGATCTTGTTAGAAAGATGAGGTTAAAGAATAGACTTCATAATAGAAAAAACATATCTGCAAAGCATCTTTTGGAGTTCAAGACCCTGAGCGCTCTTATTAAAAAACAAACAGACTGTGAAGATTCTGCATACATTGCGAAAATTGAACAAAATGCTAATATTGATTTCAACAGTTTTTGGGGTTACATAAAATCTAAGAAGGGGGGATCTGGTATTCCCAAAGAAGTCACTTACGGGGAAATGAGATTCTCTAATGATTTTGAAGTCGCCAATGCCTATGCACAATTCTTTCAATTCATTTTTCAACTAGATGAAGAGTACCCAAAGGTTCCTACAAATTGGGGTAGTTTTGACTTTCCTAAAATAACTGAACCTATTGTAAAGGATAGCATCAAAAAATTAAAGCCCAAAAAAAGTGTCGGTACTGATAATATTCCCCCCTATATTTATAAGGGATGTGTGGATGTCTTAGCCAAGCCTCTTGCTCATCTGTTCAATTCTTGTATCGAGAAAGGCATCTTTCCAGATAAGTTTAAGGAAACCGTGGTTATTCCACTGCATAAAAAGGGTAATGTTTGTGATGTAGAAAACTATAGGCCAATATGTATCTTGAATTCCTTGTCAAAGATCTTTGAGACAATATTGTGTGGTTTTATTTCTGAATATGTAGGTATGGACATTGTTAAACAGCAGCATGGCTTTGTAGAGGGTAAATCTACTGTAACAAACCTTTGTGTTTTCACTGATTCCATAGCACGGGCTATAGACAATGGGCTACAAATGGATGCGATATTCACAGACGCTGGGAAGGCTTTTGATAAAATTAACCATGGTCTTTTGTTGCAGAAACTGGTTAATTTTGGTTTTTCTGAACGCTCTTATAAATTAATAAGAACTTACCTATCTGCGAGGTCATGTGCTGTTCGAGTAGGAATGGAGCTTTCAGAGAGCTATATAGCTACTTCTGGAGTTCCACAGGGAAGTAATATTTCACCATTGCTTCTCTCAATGTTCATTAATGACCTGCCGGATTGCTTAAGCATGGGCTCAGAGTGTCTATTGTTTGCGGACGACTTCAAGATTTTTAGAACGATAACCACTGCTTCTGATTGCATCAAACTACAAAATGATCTTGACA